CTACTACTACTACTACTACTGCTGCTATAGTTTAGGATACACATTTTAAATGTAAGGGGCTGGAACCAATGAATGCATGGTATTTTTGTTAGAAAGATTACTTCAATGATTAATCGATTATCAGAACAACTGATTAATTTACTGTCAATTGACGGACAACAAAGATACAATTTGCTGAAGGGTCCAGAAAAAAATCCATTAAGACCTTGAGTTAATATTTTCTTTTTAATAAGGCCAAGAGTAAACGCTCAAGGTTAGTTTGCTGGCTCTAGGTGGATGAATAAGATGACTCTACATCGATTATGATTATTGCAAATTATACATTAACAGGATTTGGTTAGAAATTGTGTTAGCAGTGTCAGTTGAACACATTAAGCACTGAGTCTGATATCAAGTTTAGCCCTATCATTTAGTGTGTGTTAGCCCTATCATTTAGCTTGAATTATTTTATGAAATCATTAATCAATTTGTATTTGTTTTATTTTAAAATGCATAAAGGAACTAATGTCGAATTTCATGCTACAACCTTGCATTGTAAATGGACAATAAAAAACTTGAATCCTGGAAAACCAAAACTAGCATGAACCTTTCCAGACCTTTTGTCTCCACAGAAGACACAGCTAAAACAAGAATTTATATTTTAGTCCTAACCTTGGCATAAGAGATTTTTTTCCCTTCCCTTTGAGTGCATACTCGTACATAAGAGATGATACATCATACACAATATCCCCAGGACGAGGGTAAGCATTTAAAAGTGGAGGCAACGTTGTGAAGCAGGAATAGGATGCTGCTATTTCCATAATTTCCCACGTTAGGTGAATGCAGCACCAGGCTCCTCCCAAACCAGAAGTAAGAGCCGGTTAAGTGGGTGTGTTTAATCCCCGAATGTTACCTGTCAGGCACGCTTTCTTCATTCCCTGCTGCACTTTCTCCCGGCTGTCGAACACAACCCACAGTAGCTGAGTTCAGAGGGTCTCCTTGACAGACTGAACCCAGGACACCACCCACCCATTACAGTCTTTTACCGTGATCGGATTGAAAACGAATTGCAAGGATCAACGCCGCGGCTGTTGGGTTGCT